AATTTCACTAAAAGGAGTATATTTAACCCATGATACATTTGAAAGATAAGGTTGTTGTACCATTTAAATTATTTAATTCATTCTTATAAAACTGATCTGTGACAAACTGTGTAATAAAATTCAGCTTTGAGGATAAACTTATATCTACCCCATCACTTCCAAACTAAAAGTGAGGATAGAGAAGATAAAATACCTACTACTGGTACTAGTGACATGGTAATTCTACCTCTAATGTAGGTAAGTTAACTTTCTAGCCAGCACTTCCTAGGTATGTTGATACTTCAAGATCAGTGGTTTTAACCATGAAAATAAGATGTGAATGGGGGAGGGGTGAGGAGGACAGTTATGAGAACAAGCTGGATTTGAAGAGTGCACTTGAACTCTTCATGCATTCACAACTCGTTATTGAGTAACAACTGTATTAGTCTGCTTGGGCTGCCATAACACAATTCCACAGACTGGGTATTTACTGCAGAATTTTATTTCCTAACAGCCCTAGAGTCTGGAGGTCCAAGTATAAGGTAACAGCAGAGTGGTTCTCTAGTGAGACTTCATTTCCTGGCTTACAACTGGCCACCTTGTTGTGTGCTCACATGGCCTTTCCTCTGTGCTACACCCCTGGTATCTTTTTCTCTTCTTATAAGGACACCCATCCTAATTGGACTAGGGCCTCACCCTTAAGACCTCATTTAACCCTAATCATTCCCTTAAAGACCCTGTCTCCAAACAGTCACATTGCGGGTAGGGCTTCCACACATAAATATTGAGGGACACAATTCAGTCTGCAACACCAGTCATATGCCTGCCACTGTTGTAAAGGCTGGGAACACATTTGTGAACAAGACAAAGGTTCTTCCCCTTGTTGGGCTTGTGTTCTAAAGCAGCGATTCTCAACCTGTGGGTCGCCAACCTGTGGGTTGTGACCCTTTTGGGGGTCAAACGACCCTTTCACAGGGGTCGCCTAAGATAATCGGAAAACACATATATAATTACATATTGTTTTTGTGATTAATCACTATGCTTTAATTATGTTCAGTTTGTAACAATGAAAATACATCCTGCATATCAGATATTTACATTACGATTCATAACAGTAGCAAAATCACAGTTATGAAGTAGCAACGAAAGTAATTTTATGGTTGGGGGTCACCACAACATGAGGAACTGTATTAAAGGGTCGCGGCATTAGGAAGGTTGAGAACCACTGTCGTGGCAAACGAAATATTAATTATAATATGTAAATAAATTACATAATATGTTAGAAGGCAATAACTATTATAGAGAAAAGTGAAAGAGAGGTGGAGTACTAGTGCAGATTTGGGGGTGATTGACAATTTTACATAGAGGAATCAGATTCGGCCCTATTGAGTAGCTGACATTGAGTTAAACCTTGAAGGATATGAGGAAATTAGCAGTGTGGATATCTGCCCTTGTTAGTCCGGTGTTTATTCAGTTGAGAACAGACATTATTGAGAAGCTTTGGTGGACTTGATTAAGAGTCAGATAACCTTGGTGCAAGTTCTAACTTTGTGTGACCTGGGGCAAGTCAGCATCTGCACTAAATTACATAACCAACACCACGGGGTTAATGAATTCCAGATGCCAGGATGTTTCAGCGCGGATCATCCCTGTGTTAAATGAAAACTGGGAAAACAAATTGCTTCAGTGCTGAATTTGAACTCCTGCAGGAATCATTGACAGCCAAGCTTATCAGGGATGGAGAGCCTCTCTCCCCAGACTCAGAGCCTTTCACTGTTCCCTGGCTTTCATTGCACTGCCAATAGGATAGCACTTTCTTTGGTGGGGAAGATCAGAGTGACCTCATTAATGATATTGATAAATATGTCAGTCAGAGGCATTCCAAAGGGCTTTGCTTCGGAGTCTAGGGATCCATTTCTTCTTTGGATGAGGCAAAATTGTTGATGGTATTCAGCAGCTCCACTGATGTTAAATATCAAATCATGAGTATTTAAGGAGCAGGCCTAGAATTACACTTTACTCAGCAGCTAAGGAAATAATTCTGTCAACCCCTGATTATCCATGTTAATAAAAAATAAAACATTAGTGCTTATAATACAGGAAATCTATAAACTCTTGCCATGGAAAGGGAAAGGTAGCAGAAGATACCCCTTGGTGAAGGAAGAAGGAATTCAGAGAGTGAGCAGCAGAGGGTCACGAAGCCCTGATTGCAGTTCAGGTAGATTAACCTGGGAGCAGCTATAGTAGAGAAAAAGGGAAAAGGAAAATTTAAGAAATGTATGAATATTCATTAAAAAGGAATGTTGTTCCTTTTTTTTTAAAGAAAAAAAAGTACATAGGCAGAATATAATTCCTGCTCTTTCCTTGTTCTATAAATGAAGTGCTTCTTCTGTGTCAGACTCTGGGCTGAGCTCTGCAAAAAATAACCCAACCCCTGATTTTCCAGGTGACAGTCTAGTCAGCGAGAATAACAGGAAAACTAAACAACTCAATGTGGCAAGGCCATGGTGGCATAATGCACGGGGACCGCTGGTAGCCCAGCAGGAAGCCCCTATCCAAGAGCAGAGTGAGTGTGCCAGGCAAGGGTGTCCAGAAGCAGCCCAAACCTTCTTGCATGTTATAGGACGAGGTCCAATTAGCTATGCCTTCACACTGTCATTCAACACACATTCATTAAGCAATCTTGGCATGTGACACAAACATTTGTGCTGAACTCCAGGAGCGAATAAGATGCATTCCAGCTTTTGAGGATTTAGCCTCTGATACAGGGAAACAGATATAAAAAGCTCACGAATGTGTCATTGGGTACCAAGGGGAAGCTACGTGAAGGATGCAGTAGCAGCACAGGTCTGTTCCACTCTGGGCAGTTGTGACGTAAGGAAAAGTGTCCAGTGTCTGGGAAGACGAGTAGGTGTGCAGTGTGTGGAGTGGAGAACCAGGCTGTTGAACATATAGTAGATGAAACACCAAGACTAAGGGGATGGAGTGGGAATGGTTAGTTGGTAGAACTACAAGTAGTTTCCATTGACTTCAGTTGAGCTGTGAAGAAAAGGGAGAGGATTGAAGATAGAGAGCAGAAAGTAAGCAAGCAAGGCTTTGTATGGCCTGGACAGGCATTTGGGTTTATTCCATGGACATATGGACATTTGTTAGTGAGAAATAAGGTAAACATTCTGGGATAAAAGCGGGGAAGTATACATTTAGATTTGGAACCATTCTGGCTGCAGTGTGGATAGACCAGAGTGAGAAGGGACTTGGAATAGCAGCCACCAGCTAGGAGTGTCACCATTAGTCTGGGCCTCAGATGTTGAGAGCCTGAACCAAGACTGTATAAGTGAGGGAAAGAGAGACACGTGAGAGGAAAAGTAATTAACAAGACTTTAACTGATTTTATGACAAGGGTCTTTCGGGGGGAAAAGGAGCCAACATGAGTCCCTATCTTCCAGTTAATGCGATTTAGTGTAGCAGCCATGCTTTTACCAGTAAGTGAGGGAAAGAGAGACACGTGAGAGGAAAAGTAATTAACAAGACTTTAACTGATTTTATGACAAGGGTCTTTTGGGGGGAAAGGAGCCAACATGAGTCCCTATCTTCCAGTTAGTGCGATTTAGTGCGATCTTTACCAATGGTATAGATTATTCAGCAAAATAAGTATTTAACAAATTTTGAGACTCTATGTATAGAGTGCAAGTGCTCCACTAGAGTATAAATTGTTTAATAGATTTTACGTTCCTTAAGTACAAGTACCTCATTTCTTAATCACTTTAATCTGTTGTAGTGTAATATTTTAGAGATTGACAAAGCAATGCTTTAACCTAAATTTACCTGATGCATAAAAAGCAAAGATGTAAGTAAGTCTTTTGGTTAAAAAAATTACTGAAGTGACCTCTCTGGTACCGATATGCATATTAAAACAATATTAGATTACTAATGCTTCAATTTTTCTAGTTTTTACATTCTCCTTCAAAAAAAACTAGCACTGGTGTCATAGGAACATAAATTAAAGTAATGGTTTGATACCGATATGCATATTAAAACAATATTAGATTACTAATGTTTCAGTTTTTCTAGTTTTTACATTCTCCTTCAAAAAAAAACTAGCACTGGTGTCATAGGAACATAAGTTAAAGTAATGGTTTGACCTAGATTAAAAAAATAACAACAACATAACTCATTTCCTTCTAAGGCCTAATTCAACTAATTTTACTAGTAGTCATGGCTTTTTGGACTATTAATTTATTCTGAAAAAACAGAGGCTGTCCTTTATTTCATGTATTATAGTTGTTCAAAGACTGATGTTTCAGGATGAAGTAAACTTATATGGACAACTCTATAGAGAAGAATTTTATGATAGTGTTTCATTGATAATGCTCAGTTGACAAAGTAATTGATATTTCAGGCCTTTTGGCCTAAAGAGTTTTTGTTCTGAATGTGTGGTTGAGATGCATAACACAAGAAAGGAATCTTAAATGGCACTTGCTTGAAATTAGAATGTGATTGCTTTAAAATACTATGGAAACTTTTATTGCCTTAAACTATTTTAACTGCCATTCTTTTTAAATGTTCTCTATAACGGCATGCTGTTAAAGGAAAACCTAGTAGATAATTCACTTTGGTTAAGACTTTGGGGAATTGCAGGAAAAGAGCTTACTTTTTGACCTAGTGCTCATTATTAGTTCTTTCTGTGCCTTCCCTAAAGCTTGACATGGGTATTCCCAGTGTGAATTTTTTAGCTAATTGGATCAACCAGTAAGGCTAGAAGAACTTTCACTTTTTTGAAGCTGAAGGAATTTTGAGAAAAGGCTAGTGGAGTCACTGTGAGTGTGAAAATAACTCACACATAGATCCATTTGATGATGTAGCTTTCTAGTATTCCTGGAAGCATGCTAGACATAGGAACTGTTTCGAATGTACAGCACCATCTGAAATCTTTCTTATCTGTGAGACTGAAAAGAAGAACAGTACCTCTTCTCTCAGGTGTTTGCTCTAAAGTTACATCGGTCAAGATGAAGAGACCTTACCCGGCCATACATGTTCTGGTATGCCTCTGCGATCATCAGCCTCTGTGAGTTGCAGCGTTGAGTTAGAATGCTGATCAGCATGCCTTTGTCACAGCCTGGAAAAGAATCATAATTGAAGTTTAGTAAAGTCACTACTCTGGAGTTAAGAAGAATCCGTTATCTAAGGATTAAAACCAATGTGCAAGCTTTATACCTGATGGGTGCTTTAAAGCAGTGAGCAATTTTAACTAAAACGAGAGAGCCCAGAGAAACACTTGATGAAGCCAAGGTTCTTCCTATCTCTTATTTTGGAGCTATTACTACAGATTGTCCATTTTAAAAGATCCAGTGAAAAATACAGGGAAGTGAAAATACAGTCTTTCTTCAACCACCTCCTCTGCCCCACCCAAAAAGGCTTGCCTACATGGGAACAATATCTTTCTTGTTTTACAGTTGGAGAGATATGACTTATAATGAACATACATGAAGACACAAATACATTAAGACAAAAAGAACCTCCAATAGAAGAAAGAGATATAGAGAAGAAAATTATACAAGTACAAGGGGTGTGCACCCTCCTGGGAGATGGTGTGAAACTCTCATGATTTACAGGGAACATGTTCTCTCCTAACAGAGACTCTGTTTTGGGGCTCCGAAGGCCTCTAGCCCTTGTATACCAGCTCATTGAACTGACATCACACCCAAATGCACAACTCGGTTAGATACATTTAGCTGTAATTATAGTCATAGGAAAGTGATCAAGAAGGCCTTTATATTTTCCTCACCTCCACTAAAATTTAGATAGGTTTCTTTCTGACCATAGGCCCTTGATCTCCATTTTCTGAGAGCATTTAATTTGGAAAACGTGCAATTGTAAATTATTTCTTTATCCTTTTCATATGTAAGTCTTCTCCCAACCACTTCCCAGTTTTATAGCCCATAAATGCCTTCCTCAAGGACATGGGAGCCATTCCTTTAAAATATAATCATTAGGAACTATAGAGTCACTATCTCCCCATCTCTAGGAAGGTAGAAACCTAACTTCCATAAGTACCAATTAACAAATACCGATGCCCCAATCACATTGACCAATGCTCCCAAACCCCATTGTCCTCCAGTGCTTTTCCACCAGCTCACCCCAGCCTTAAAAACTCTTCTGTGTTTTGTTTGGAAGAACTTGAGTTCAATCTCTTGCCTCAATTGAAAAAAATCTTGATCCCGACTGCAATAGAATTGAATAAAGTCTTTCTTGCCTGTTTAATTTTTGTGGTACAAATTTTCTTTGGCCAAAGGAGATATTTAATGAAGATGAGAAAAAGAATGAATTGAAAGGCTGGGATGTTAAGTAGATCATCTTTTTGGAAATGAAAGCCATCCTGGATAGCCTCAGGCTCAGGGGAAAGCTGTGGGTCAGGTCCTGACTGTGCAGATGAGAAACAAAAGGAAGAGCAAGGTGTTTTCGGTAGACGAGAGAAAAGCTGAAAGCTGGAAAATGGAGGAAGGGAGACATAGAATCACCTTCAAAGACTGTACTTTATAATTTGTGGGGGAAAAGGCAGCCTCCAGTGAAGAGGCATAGAGCAACTTGGTACCATGCGCTCAAAGTCCTGGACTCAAAGGACCTTAATTCGTTCCATAGGTATCTGTTAGATGTATAATTGGCATTCCAAAGTTAACATGTTTTAAAATAATAAATAGAATAATTTTCAGTTCTTTCCATTGTTATTTTTACTATCATCTCATTTATGTAATTACTATTTTTTTTAAAAAATATATTTTTGAAGAAGAAGAAGGAGGAGAGAGAGAGGGAAAAGAAGAAGAAGAAGAAGAAGAAGAAGAAGAAGAAGAAGAAGAAGAAGAAGAAGAAGAAGAAGAAAGAAGAAGAAGAAGAAAAGAGAAGAGAGAGAAACGTCAATGATGAGAGAGAATTATTGATCAGCTGCCTCCTGCATGCTGCCTACTGGGGATCGAGCCTGCAACCCGGGCATGTGCCCTTGACTGAAATCGAACCTGGGACCCAGGCTGACACTCTATCCATTGAGCCAAACCAGTTAAGCCCCATTTATGTAATTATTAATTGCGTTTTTTTTTGTTGTTGTTCTGTTGAGATTATCCACAATCTACATCTCTGAATTACTCTTTATTTTTTCAAAGTGTTCATACCAATTCTTGCTCATTTATTCTTCCAGAGATATTTCAGGAGAATTTTATTAAAAATGTTTAATTAAAATAACTTTATATTTTATACTCTGGAATCAATTCAGAAGAGTTGTCTTTCTGTCACTAACAAGATATATCTGCCGAATTATTTTTTTTGTTTTTCCTAAAAGATTTAGTAAAGATTTGTATAATTTTTGTAAATGACAAGAAACTTACTTTTGTTAAAATTATTTATTTTTGCCTTTCTATGGATATTTAAAGTTATTTTTATTTTGTTTCTTAACACATCATTGCTTAAATAAAGAAATGTTATTGAATTTTATGTTTATCTTACATTCAGAAAAATCATTCAACTCATTTTTAATAACTTAGTTGATTACCTTGGATTTTGAGATATATATTCTGTAAATAATAATGATTTCTTCCTTAGAATCTTATGTTTTTCTCTTTCTTGCCTTATTGCATTAGGACAAGAATTTCTAAATAATTTTTATTTTCAGCAGAAAAGCCTGGCACAAGGAATCATAGCAAGTTATAGACTTTTATGATGTAGAATTTGTTCCTATTATTTGTGGTAGTTTTCTACAATGTCATGATGAACATCAAATTAGTAAATGCTGAACTATTGCTCCTGGGAAAAATATTGGGTTAGGTTTCTATGACCTTATAGTCACAGCATTTTTGTTAGCAGAAATGCCAATTACATTACATATGCTTGTTCATCAATGTCCTTGTAAAACAGCCCAATCAGCATCAGAAATCTTCTCTTCCACATACACTCTTCCTGCATAAAACTTAGAAGGCATTTTAAATAATACCTTAAGGAGGTATTCTGCAGCTTCCTGCTCTGCAGGGCTTGCCTCATTGAGAGTTTAACAGTTTTTATGCAGTACCATCTTTTGAAAAAAGATGCAAGCCAGCCAGCACTACTTCCAAAAGAAAGCTGAGCATTACCCTTTTTACTATTATTATCAGTTATCATCTCATGAACTCACAAATTTATTTGCTTTTCCATAACTTCCTAGCATGCATATTACTTTAGCATATTCTGGACAGCCTCATGCATAGATCAATAAGTTTTCTCTTTTTTTCTACTATTTCAATAACCAACAAAATGAAAAAGTAGCCCACAGAATGGAAGAAAATATTTGCAAATCATTTATCTAATGAGTTAGTATCTAAAACATATATAAAGCTCTCATATAATTCAGTAGTAAAACCAAATAATTAGATTTAAAATAGGCAAAGGACCTGAATAGACATTTTCCCAAAGAAGACACACAAATGGTCAACAAATACATGAAAAGGTGCTCAAAATCAATTAGGGAAATGCAAATCAAAAGCACGAGATATCACCTCACACTTGTTAGAGTAGCTATTATAAAAAAAGATGAGAGATGTGAAAAGGGAATCCTTGTGTATTGTTGGTGGGAATGTAAATTGGTACAGCTACTATAGAAAACAGTATAAAGGTTTCTTTAAAGTTAAAATGAGAACTACTAAATGATATAGCAATCCTACTTCTGGGTTTTTATCCAAATAAAAAGAAATCACTGTATTGTAGAGATGTTGCACTCCCATGTTCATTGTAGCAATATTCACATTAGCCAACATATGGAAATCACTTAGGTATTCATAAATAGATGAATGGATAAAGAAAATGGGATCTATAATAATAAAAGCTTAATATGCTAATTAGATCAGACGTCCTTCCAGATGACTTTCCGGATGAAGCTGGGGCTGCTGCTGTGAGGGCTGGGACAGCGGCTGGTGCCGGCAACCAGGGCTGCAACCTCGGCCCTTGGAGTCCCTTGCACGAATTTCGTGCATAGGGCCTCTAGTATATACATAAGTACACATACACACAGTGAGGTATTATGCAGTCGTAAAAAAGAAGAAAATCCTGCCATTTGCACAACCTGGATGTATCTTGACAGCATT